CCGATTCCGGGTCAGGGCACAAGCCCAGGTGGCGGGCTGGATCCCCAGTGTGAGGCGTGGAGGAGGCGGCCTATCAATGATTCTCTCTCGCTATGGATGTTTCTCTCTCTCCCTCTCCTTTTCTCTCTAAAATCTGTAGGGAGCAGCTCTAAGGTCACGCAGACCTGTGGCAGGGGCACAAACAAGCCCCAGCCTGGAGGGCAGAGCTCTCCTAGCACAATTAAGCCTGACCTTGTCGCCCTCCCGAATTCCTCCCTAAGGAGCTAGTGTGCTGTGGGAGGTGCAGCAAGTGTTGCCCAAACAAGAACATTTGGATACGCTGAAACCGGTTTGGCTCAGTGGATAGAGCGTCGGCCTGCGGACTGAAAGGTCCCGGGTTCGATTCCGGTCAAGGGCATGTACCAGGGTTGCAGGCACATCCCCAGTGGGAGATGTGCAGGAGGCAGCTGATCGATGTTTCTAACTCTCTATCCCTCTCCCTTCCTCTCTGTAAAAAATCAATAAAATATATTTAAAAAAAGAACAATTGGATACATGTTAATCTACCCTTGTTTTAATCAGATTATAAAAATAAAGCAGCAGCGTGCAGGCTGGGTCTTGTGTGTCCTCACCCAGGCACAGGAGATCCACAAAGCCCCAGCTGTATTCTCTTGTCTGTCTTTTCTTCAATCCTTCACTGCCCATCCTCAGGTTCACCCTTGGCCGTGCTGGCATGGCACAAAAATCAATAAAAATATATTTAAAAAACAACAATTTAAAAAAAAACCAAAAAAGGAAATCTTGTTATTTCAAAATGGCAACATATAAGCAGTTTCGCTGCCACGCAAGATGGAGGAACAGGGACTTGGATTTGTCCTCCTTCCTGAAAACAGCCCCAAAACCAGACGAAATATGTGCAACAATGACGGTGCTCAAGACTCTGAACATCAGTCCAGGCCGGAGAGAGATCCCGGAGAGATGGGGAATGTCGAGCTGAGCCCTGAATGCCCTGCAGCTGCTGTCATCAGAGCGTTTCCAGCCATGGGACTTGAGGGGAGGGGAGCTGAGGCACAGCACCTCCCAAAGGCCCCCCAAAAACTGCTCTAAAAAAACAAAGTCGACTTTTTAAAAATGTTCAAACCAAAAGGAGGCAGGAAAAGAGGAAAAGGCGCCTGGGTGGGGTGGCTCAATGGTTGAGCGTCGACCTATGACCCAGGAGGTCACGGTTTGCTTCCCCTGTCAGAGCACATGCCTGGGTTGCGGGCTCGATCCCCAATGCGGGGCGTGCAGGCGGCAGCCGATCCATGATTCTCTTTCATCACTGATGTTTCTCTCTCCCCTCTCCCTCCCTCTCTCTGAAAAAAAAAAAAAAAAACGTAAAAAAATAAAATGAGGAGAGGGGAGTAGCTCTGTCTGTGGAGTAGCTCATTCTGTCTCACTGCTTCACTCATAAACTCTCTTTTACTTTAAACTCTAAAAAAAAAAAAAAGCCAGAAAAGAAAAAAAAAAAGAACCATGGACACATAGGAATCCTATAGCAAGTCAATAGGTTTAAATGTCACCATACCAATGATCATGTTAAAGAACAGTGACAAACACTGCTTTTAAAAGAGATTGGCCCTGACCTATTTGGCTCAGTGGGTAGAGCGTCGGCTTGCGGACTGAAGGGTCCCAGGTTCGATTCCCATCAAGGGCATGTACCTGGGTTGCGGGCACATCCCCAGTAGGGGGTGTGCAGGAGGCAGCTGTTTCTCATCTATGTTTCTAACTCTCTATGCCTCTTCCTTCCTCTCTGTAAAAATCAATAAAATATATTTAAAAAAAATTAAAGGCAGAGGTTAAGAGGGGAGGGGCTTAAAGGGGTGGAACTCCGGTCAAAGCAGGTTAGAGGGGAACCTTTGGCTCTTTCGGGAAATTGTTCAAAATAAATAAGTATAAATAAATAAATAAATAAAAGGCAGAGATTGCAGGCTTAGGGGGAAAAGAAAGATCCGACTAGAATAGATGCTGGGTACAAGAACCCACCTTAAATACAGGGGGGGCAAACTAAAGGGACCCTAAATACTGAATACACTGTGGTCCCCTGTGGCGACATTCACATGAAGTCTGCGGTCTAGTGAGTAGCCAAGTGCCAACGTGGGCTTCTTAGTTGTGACAGATCCTACAGTCACGGGAGGTGAGGGCATCGGGACCCTGGGTGGAGGGCATCGGGGCCCTGCACACCCCCTCCCCGCCCCCCCAGCCTTTCTGTGAATCCACAATTACTCTAATGGCAACCACAGGAGACGCAGGGATCACGGGGAACGCGCAGAACAGCAGAAGCTGGGGAGGAAGAGCCTTGGAATGCTGCTCCGCCACCTGCTGTCGCTGCCGTGACCCGTCCTGCACCCGGACCGGGTGACTTTATCCGGGTCCTGGAGGGAAACACTTGCAAGTTTAGCTACGAGAAGTTAAAAAAAAACAATAGGCCTGTTTACAGAGATGGTGCAAACACTCAGCCTCCATCAGCGGCCTCGCGGACCTGCTACCTGCCCCTCTCTATGGGCCTGCTACCGGCCCCCCTCTACGGGCCTGCCTCTTCACCAGGACCCCACACCTGTATTTTGCCGTCCCCCGTCTCTGCCCACCTAAGCCGGGCTTGTCTCCAAGCGTGGGCACCCGCCATCCCTCTGCCGGACTCTCCGTTCCGTTTCAGGGACTAAGGGCGCTTCCATTTCCGGTGGGGCCTGTATTCACCCCTTTTTACGCTCGTCATTCCCTTCCCCAGGCAACCCCATCCCTGGACGGCGGGCAGTCCCACAAGTCCCAGCCACCCTGGTTTATGTCTACAATAGGAATAGTAAATGGCTACCACGAACGCAGCCAAAAACTCGGCTAAAGGACGAACGCAACGCCCAACACGGTCGCGCGTGTCCCCTCGGGGCCACCGTCCCCACCCCGTCTTCCGGCTTGTCAGGAGCGC